TATCTTTGAAATTCTTGATGCTATCTATATATACTTCAAACATATTCTTGATCTACCTAAACTAGAGCAACCCTTGACCAGGATTTGGCTTTGCCAAAGTTCTTTATATTTTGAAAATATGGATGAATAGTGTTAAAGTGATGGTGTAATTCTTGTATTCACACCATTATTGGAAGACTTTAACATAAGTCTAACTTATGGAGAGTAGCTTCGAAAGGGTTGTTCAATTCCTAGATGATTTATAATCCTGAAATCAAAATCATTAAAATGAAGCATGAAATCCTTATGAGAGAAGATACATTCATGTGGAGGCAAACCACACCCGACATATCAACTACGAAGTATTTTGTTACCTTCAGGGTGGTGCACCCTAGAATCAGAAGAGGGATATACATCACATAAGGAAATCTTCAACTTTTGTTTGTTGATAAAGATGCAGGTTGTCCCCAAAGTTTCTTGATCTACCCATGGTAGTTGGTAAGCATCCATAGGAAGTTTAGCGTCTCACTAGCCCTTCCACGCCATTTATGCACCATTGTCAACAGATAAAAAGTTATGACCATGAGTAAGGATGTGACTATGATTCCATCCATCATCTAACTTTGTTGTTAGTAGGGTTGCAATAGAAAGAGAGCCTATGAGCTATATAATATAGGTTTATGCTTTCATAACAGGTGTATTGTCGCTAAAGAGCCTCACACTAAAGTAAGGCGTCACTCCACCTCAATCGTTGGGGTCCATCCAACGGTCTCTTGCACCTAATGTCACGTTCATCAAGGATGGTTCTAACTGTCACTCTTTTATAAATGTGACTCTGCGCCACACAAAGGCCTGATTTATATCATCCTTATTACAAGTTTCATGTATGACTTTGCTGACTTGAGCGCTAGGGTGTCAACCTTTTATGTATACCCTCTTCTTTAGACACTAAAGACATATATCACTGTGCCGGAGACCTTCCCGATAGTTTTGACCAATCTATTTTTTTTTTCACGTACCTGAATAATGAATAATTGTATAAGAAATTTATGAGATTTATTAAAATTGAACATATATTAATCATATTTATTAGTTAAATTGAAAAATGTCGGGTGTCTTAGGTCATGCATTTGAAAGCGGTTTCTTAGGTCATGCATTTAGCAGTGCTTTTTCTTAAAGCGCTGTCTAAGGTTTTCTATTTTTTTTCTTTTTTTTTTCTTGAGTCTTTAGCCGTGCTTTTTAAAAAAGCATTATCTTTATATGCGCTGCTAAAAATCAATTCTTGCGTAGTGACTATAAACTTGAAAACTATACCTATCTTAAATTCAAAAACCTCTATATACAACACAAACTCATATCAACTATAAAATATCATGCTTTTAGAATATAGAAATTTAAACAAGTATAAAATATATAAAAAAATAATCTAATTATTAAAAGTATTAAAATTATATTAATAGTGCCTTCTTTCCTATACTTTATTCGTACTGGGTGGTTTTCTTATCCTATATATTAACTGCACCGTACAGCGATGTTTTCTTTCAAGAAAATTCAAAGAACCTTCCCGGAAATCTCCTACTCACAAGTACAAGAAAATATTTCTATATGAAATTCCTATATATAGGAAACAAGCTATCAAATATAATTCACACTTCACAGCTAACATCTAAAAAAGTTTAGGTGAGTGAAGTGTTGAAAGAGAGAAGACATGAACATGGAGATAACTGGTAGCTATGAAGCACCACTACCACTTCTCTCACTGAATCATGTCTCTATACTGTGCAGATCAGTGTTGGACTCTATGAGGTTTTATGAGCAAGTTTTGGGTTTTGGCCTCATCAAACGCCCTTCCTCTTTCAAATTCAATGGAGCCTGGTTGTATAACTATGGTTTTGGAATACACCTGCTTGAGAATCCAAACTATGATGCATTTGATGATGCCCCTATGGATGAACCACGACCCATTAATCCCAAGGATAACCACATATCATTCCAGGTAATTAAGCTTTGTGTTCTAATAATTTTAAATTACATCTAATTTAAACAAACAATTACTAAAAGTATTTGCAATTTGGTTTTGTGTAGTGTACAGATGTTGGACTTGTGAAAATGAGGTTGGAAGAAATGGGGATGAAGTATGTTACAGCATTGGTAGAGGATGAAGGAATCAAGGTGGAACAGGTGTTCTTCCATGACCCAGATGGATACATGATAGAACTTTGTAACTGTGAGAATATCCCAATAGTGCCCATTTCTTCTTCTTCATGCTCTTTCAAGGCAAGAAGCCCGAGCATTAAGAAGGCTCCCACCAAGTGTGGATTCATCATGGAAAATGTTATGATGCGAAGCTTGAGCATGGATATGATGAACTTTGCGTTTTGAGGTTCCATAATGTCTAAATAAGGTGGTGAAAATAATTTTCTTTTTTTGTCCGTAAGATCAGAAAAGTGTCTGTTCATAAAAAAGAAAAGGGAATAGTGCATAAGATTGTTATTATTTTATTTATGTATGTAATCATTATATCCAAAAGTATATTGTATATGAAGTGCTTGAAATAATAATGATAAATTTGTGAGACTCGTTTGTTGTTGCATGATACTCCTAAACAATCTGTAATATTTTCACAAATCTTTGTTGAGAGACTAACACAAAAAGAAAAGATTTGGAGGGTAAGTAGGGGCGGTCCAAGGGCCAAGCAACCTAGGCTAGGAAATGAGTAACAACATCCTGATTTATAGATGATTTGAGATATAAATTTTTATGTGGTAGAACTAGAAATGAGTAACGACATCCTAATGATGAAATGAGGTAAATTTCTCGGGCAGCGGGGGAGGAGTTGACTGACAAAGGTTAGCGCTCTAATGTCTAAGTTACTTTTTGAGTAAAAAATAGTCTTGTGTGAGATTCCTTATATATGAGGAGCAGTTAGAGTTCTCGTTATTTTTTAGAGTAGTATGCAGTGGATTGTTGAATGATATCCAATGACAGAGGATGATATGTATTATGGATCGAAGGCCTGAAGGTCGCGGGTGCACTGTGCCTCCAACACCTTATAACTTTGCATTGATGATTGAACTTTTTTTTTATTAATGGGACTTTCCATTGTCTAAAATAGTTGCCCTCATGGTTTGCCATAATATAGTAATGGAAAGCTTTCTAGAATATCGGGCCGGTGTCACCTTAGGTTGAGATCCTCAAGGCGGGTCTTTTGTTTGCAAAAGTGGAAAAGATTCACATAGCCGGATTAAGTGGCCTTAGAACTAGGTGCATCAAATACTAGACTCATCATTGTGATGCTTCATAGGATTGTCTATACATGTTGCCCAAGGTTTCTTGAGTAGGGTGTGACTCTCCCCTCTAGGTTGCTCAAGTGTATTCGAGTATTGTGGTACTTTGAAGGTTTATTTAAATATGAATATTCGCATTTTTGGTGATTTTCGGTGGTTGGTGTGAAGTATTGAGAATTATGGATTTTGGGTTATTTATTTAAATAATAGTATATAATAAGGATATATTGGTATTATTATTAATTTAAATAAATATAAGTGAATTAAGGGCAAAATGGACATTTGAGGAGGAGTTAGTGAGGGTGAAGTTGAAAAGCCCAATTTTAAGGCCCAAAGTTAGGTTTATAAGGAATTTTGAGGGAATTAGGATTCATTCTTGTTAGACCGTGAAAAGAAAAGAAATAGAGGTCAAAGAGGAAGAGGATTGAGACAAAACTTCCCAAGGTTTATCAGAATTTCAAGAATCAAGGAGAAAGTCTTAGAGTCGGCAATTAAGGTATGAGGAGTATTATTGCCTTCATTGTTTTCAGAGTATTGTCTTTTGAATGTGTTTAAAGTTGATTTAAAGGCTTTTGAATGTGTTTAAAGTTGATTTAAAGGTTTAGGGATAATGTGTTTAAAGTTGATTTAAAGGTTTAGGGATTTTTGAGTATTGAATGTCTGAGTAGTATTGCCTTTTCAATGTGTTTAAAGTTGATTTAAAGGTTAAGGAATTTTTGAGTATTGAATTGTTGTTGGCTTTCTGGTGTTGAGTAGGTTTAGGGATCTTTGAGTATTGAATTGTTGTTGCCTTTCTGGTGGTGATAGAATAATATGGGTTTTAAAACACCACTTGAAATTGATGTTGAATCCAATTTAGTCAAGCTTAAAATTAGAGTAAAATTGAAAAAATCAAATTGAATTGTTCAAAATAGTTTGAACCAAAGATTTGAGGGCGATTTAGTAAAATTAATTTCAAATTTAAATTGTCAAATAAATGTTTTTCTTTTTAATTTTAAATCAATATTAAATATAAAAAATTTAAAAATTACTAACTATTAATTTTAGTCAAACATTTTTTCGATTATGAATTTGACTTAAAAAAACATAATATTTAAATTTCAAAACATATAATTGATACTAGAAATAAAATTCTATCTTTTTTTACATTAGTAATAATAATAAATAATTCTTCTAGAAAATAAAAACTAGTACAAAATTTATTTTTATGAAACAATTATTTTATTTATATTTGACTTTTATAAAGAAATAATTTTATAAAGAAAATTTTATATTTGTAATATTGCAAAGTCATTAGTTAAGTTAATGTTGCTAGATACACATAAGTATAAAATAATTTTATATTATTAATGCATATTAATTAAAATTTTAATATAAAATAATTTTATATTATTAATGCATATTAATTAAAATTTTAATAATAATATATTATTAAAAATAGTGATAATATATTATAGGTTTGTTTTATTCACGATTAATATATAATAATATATTATTAAAAATAGTGATAATATATTATAGGTTTGTTTTATTCACGATTAATATAAATAGTGATAATATATTATAGGTTTGTTTTATTCACGATTATTTTGCAACAAGGCTGTGACTGATATTAGACGACACCAGGCAAAATATCAAAGGCAAAAATAAGGAGAGACGAGAAAGAAAGAACTAACTATCGATCAGAGATCCGAAAACCAGAACGCAACAACGCAACAGATCGATCCAACCAAAATGGCTCCATTCAGTGGCGACGAAACTGCTCCCTTCTTCGGCTTCCTCGGCGCCGCGGCGGCTCTAGTTTTCTCCTGTAAGTATTCATATTCATATTCATAATCCAATCTAATCTAATATAACAATTGCATAATAATCTCCGATTCGAAACGATGTCGTTTTGTAGGTATGGGAGCAGCTTACGGTACAGCGAAGAGTGGCGTTGGAGTTGCATCGATGGGAGTGATGAGACCTGAACTTGTTATGAAATCGATCGTTCCGGTTGTTATGGCTGGAGTGTTAGGTATCTACGGTTTGATTATCGCGGTTATCATCAGTACTGGAATTAATCCTAAGGCGAAATCTTATTATCTGTTTGATGGTTACGCGCATCTCTCTTCTGGTCTTGCTTGTGGTCTTGCCGGTCTTTCTGCTGGTATGGCCATCGGCATCGTCGGTGATGCCGGTGTTAGGTATATTTTACTTTCGTTTCACTTTTTTTGTTTGATCTTGAATTACTATTGATTTAACGTCTGTTTTCTTATTATTTGGATATAAGTTTTGTGATTGCAAGATTTGTGATATAAATTTTGTGTTAACAGTTTATAAAATTAATTTTTGATATTTTTATAAGCTGATTTTCGGCTTCTCTATAAGGCATACAAATTTGCTTATAGAATTGGGGTATATAGAGCTGAATCATGAGGACTTTTCTGTTGTTTACTCTTTGATTGATTTGTATATAGTGTTGTTAAATAGCGGTGCTATAGGGTAGTGAATTTGAACAAATCTATATTGTTTCGCAATTAATGCAGTTCAATGCAAATGTTGTCGGAAGAAGTGGCTATAGCGACTCTAAAGGACTATTATGTGATGGAATTTGAATAAACTTTTTTTTTTAAATGATCTACCATTGACAACAATACTGTCTGTAAAATCAATTAATCCATATGCTCTTGTATGTATGATATGTGCTGAATGTAGTGTTTGTTTGGAATTTGGATACACCATCAGATAGTTCAATATGAATTTATTGAACCTCCAAATTATGGAAGTGATAGAACTTGTTGTCATAAGGCATTCCACTGTGTAAACATGTTAATCCAAATGTGCTGTCAATTTCCAGATATGTTGTGTGAAAACTGAGCCATGTTGAGATATGTGAGCTTGGGCTGAATGCATAAATAATGTTGTATTGTTTTGATTGTTTGTATTGGTGTGCTAGATGATTCATGCATTTCATCTGTGGATTTTGATACTCAGATGCAGATAATATAATTTCGAACTGGTTTTGTAAAAATATTTTATATGGTTGCAAGTTTACAATGAATTGAATTTGACTTGCTGATAACTGTCTTTTGTAGAGCAAATGCTCAACAGCCAAAGCTTTTCGTTGGAATGATTCTTATCCTCATTTTCGCTGAGGCACTGGCATTGTACGGACTTATTGTTGGCATCATCCTCTCTTCCCGTGCTGGCCAATCCAGGGCCGAGTAATTTCATATTTCCCATTGGCAGTGGTTTGCAGAGCCGCAGATCGTGAATGTCATTGTGGAGTTGGTTTTGGTAATGTTAGTACACTGGTTGCTGGTTTTCATTATTCTAAGTTATTCTATTTATTTATGTACTCGTTTTAAAATTGAGGTTATCTAGGACCAAGAATAAAGCTTTTCTTCGTGCATCTATATACTTAGACAGATGTTTGTTTTGATTCCAATAACTTATTAAAGTATGGTTTTGTACTCTTGAAAATGTATCTCCCGAACAACCCATACCTTTTATTTATATTGTTTTATTCAATATATAATCTCTCTGCGTGTCTTTTCTTATTATTTCACTTGACAATTTTATTATTATTTCAATCACCCCATATACAACACAGTATTGGATAGTTGAATACATATAAATTAACAATGCTCTGCACCTTTTCCCTCTTTTGACGAAGATAAAAAACTTTTCTGATCTTACAGACAAAAAAAGAAAATTATTTTCACCATCTTATTTAGACATTATGGAACCTCAAAACGCAAAGTTCATCATATCCATGCTCAAGCTTCGCATCATAACATTTTCCATGATGAATCCACACTTGGTGGGAGCCTTCTTAATGCTCGGGCTTCTTGCCTTGAAAGAGCATGAAGAAGAAGAAATGGGCACTATTGGGATATTCTCACAGTTGCAAAGTTCTATCATGTATCCATCTGGGTCATGGAAGAACACCTGTTCCACCTTGATTCCTTCATCCTCTACCAATGCTGTAACATACTTCATCCCCAATTCTTCCAACCTCATTTTCACAAGTCCAACATCTGTACACTACACAAAACCAAATTCCAAATACTTTTAGTAATTGTTTGTTTAAATTAGATGTAATTTAAAATTATTAGAACACAAAGCTTAAATACCTGGAATGATATGTGATTATCCTTGGGATTAATGGGTCGTGGTTCATCCATAGGGGTATCATCAAATGCATCATAGTTTGGATTCTCAAGCAGGTGTATTCCAAAACCATAGTTATACAACCTAAACCAAAACGAAATTGAAAACTTGTACAAAAAAAATAAATAAATTAAAATGGTAATGAATCAAAGTACAACTAACCAGGCTCCATTGAATTTGAAAGAGGAAGGGCGTTTGATGAGACCAAAACCCAAGACTTCTTCATAAAACCTCATAGAGTCCAACACTGATCTGCACAATACAGAGACATGATTCAGTGAGAGAAGTGGTAGTGGTGCTTCATAGCTGCCAGTTATCTCCATGTTCATATCTCCTCTCTTTCAACACTTCACTCACCTAAACTTTTTTAGATGTTAGCTTTGAAGTGTGAGTTTCATTTGATAGCCTGTTTCCTATATATACATATCAGGAATTTCATAACCAAATATTTTCTTGTCCTTGTGAGTAGGAGATTTCCAGGAAGCTTCTTTCATTGATCCGAAATTTCATATTAAAAAACATAGCTGTTACGGTGCAGTACATATATAGGATAAAAGAACAACCTTTAAAAATAAAGTATAAAGAAATAATAAGGCACTAGTAATATAAATTAAACTTTTATCGACTCATCTAAAAATAATTGGATAACTCTCCAACCTATTGTAAAATGTATAAGCATCAATGTGTCAACTTAGCTATGTCATTATTATTATAAGGTGTCAATATTATACCGTGGTGTACTGGGGACTATGCATCATCTAATTATTCGATAACATGTTTTTTTCATTTTTATATTTAATTATTTTAAACTTAAATTTAAATTTAAATATTAAGTTAATTTTGCTTACATAGTTCCAATGTTCAACAAAACTTCATGTTATTGAAGAATTTTTTATCTTATAAATTGAAATTTTATTTTTCAATTTTGGTGTTCACAATCAATTATATCTATCACTTAACAAATGATTTTGATGATCAATTTAAGACTTAAATATGATCCTATTGAAATTTTTAGTTGAAAGATTTAATAGTATAAATTATGACTAATGTTTCCAACAACTTATAATCAATGCTATTTTAAATGTAATTTGACATAAAAATAAGAATAAAGTCATTTTTTTTAAATAACCACTTTTTTTCAAATAAAATCTTCAAATAATCAATTTCAAAAAAAAAAACCAATTATATATTCTTATGTTATTTATTTTCTTATTTTAATCATGTATTTTTAACAAAGATAAATACATAATATTTATAGTATTACAAGTAGTTTCAGAAAATAAAAAATTATCAAATAATAACTTAATATAACACCGAGTTTTAATTATTTTTTCATCCTCGGTCGAATCTTCGGTTAATTTCATATTTGAATAATGTTGTGTCTTCAAACAAATGAACAAATAGAACTTGACCCCTTGTCGTGTCTTCAAACAAAAGACACTCAAAAGTTGTTCGCATATTGCGTTATCTTGGTTAACTCGACCATTATCAACCTTACCTGCGATAGATAGACTCAACAACATGTACATGTTGTCTAGTGTGATGGTACATTCACCGAACGAAAGGTGAAATATGTGTGTCTCGGGTCTCCATCTTTCTATCAACGTAAATTTGTAATCAACAAAGTATGAGATTATGTTGAGTAAATTACCAAAATCGGATGCTCGTAAATACGGTTCTATCAATTTGTCGTGTGAGACATATTCACGTGCACGACAACGAAATCTCTTTGGATCCTAACAAAAATTAATTAAGTAAATTAATTAAGGAAAAGAATTAACGAGAAATATAGTAATGTAACGACAAATTTAGTAATATATTCGAAATAATGACTTACAAACTCTACAATGTTGTTGATGGGTCCTCTATGTATCTCACCCATGGTTAATAGTGTCATATTTTAGAATGCATATTTGTGTTTGTTGCTGATAAACTGTGTTTGTTGATTGTTTTTTATGGAAATATGTTGAGATAAAGACATACTTATAGAGGATCAATGCTATCAGGTGAAAGTTTTTTTCATGCAAACAAACACTAATGTGCCACTGCCAATGGTACATGATCTTAATTTTCCACACACGCACTAGTCAAAATGGCAAGTCCTATGAGCATGCATGCAGTGCAGCGTGGTAGCTTAGCGGCTAGGGAGGTGTTTACCGGTGGTTTTGGTAAACAATCACAAATTTAGAAAGTCTGTGAGGTTAACTTGAAAAATCTCCAAAACAATTTGTGCAAATGATTTCTATGAACACATGTGCGTGTGAATTGAATGCAATTGTCACGTGAAGGATAACGACATAGAAAAAGACTTTAAATGAATTTAAGTTGTGATAAAGGACAAGGCAAAATGCAATAAATAACATTAAATAAAGAAAAAGTACAAGTGTTTCATTTAAGGAAACAAAAAATTGATGAAAAGATTGAATGCAGACAATACATGTTTCTTGGTCAACTGTTTTGCTCTTTGAATCAGATACTCTAGTGGTATGGAGAGTATGCATGAAATTTTGTGACCTTTGATTTCATGTATGAGTCTGCTATTTATTCTATTTACAAACTAACCGTCAACGATGGTTATGACCATTAGGAACTACTGCATTCACTTCAAGTTCAATCTTCAGACTCCCATTAGCGTGCTTACGTGTCATTCATGAATCTATCTGTTTAAAACACATGTTGAGTTGTGACTACTTCCAACTTCCTTGCGAACCCCCGACGATAACAGCTCCAATATGTTGTTGGTGTTGCCTACCAAGGACTTTGCACTTGTAAATTTACTAAGTCTTTCAACCTTATGTGGTTCAGTCAATTGGTCTTCTTGTTGAAATAAAGGCCCTTATCGACTATCCTTTTCGAGATTCTGAACATGTTTTCCAACGATCCTGGTCTTGTTGATTCATCCCTGAGATTCCTCCAAACCAGACACAGCTTGGTCGATCCCTCGTTACTAGTATGTCGATGCTTCATCATTAATGCTCTTTAAAACACTCCATTAATGCTTTCTCACAACAAATGTCTTCTCATTGACATTCTTTGTTAACTTTCTACTAGCTAAATAATCTAAGTGTAACAGGAGGTTAGAAGTCAACGGGTCATTAAAATTCTCTCCAATCGTGTTGTAATTCTATTTGATGGAATAATATTTTAATTTTTTTTTACTAAACAACTTATTTATAATTATTTTGTTTTTAAAATAATTATAAAAGAAACAAAACAACATAGGAGCCAAACGCAATGGTGCATGCTCCTATAAGTTGCATGCATGCGCCACTACCATTGACATGACACACGATCATGCATCACAGACATTGGTGTCTAAGGTGTCTAAGGTTAAAAAAGAAATGAATGTGTTACAGGTAGTGGCACATCCTCTTGAGGACGATTTTTGTTTTGTTTGAAAGGTGGTTAACTTGCTATTTTTTTAAAATGTGATTATTTGTAGATTTTATTTGAAAAAAATAGTTATTTAAAAAAAAATCAATAAAATGCACTTAAAAAAACACAAGAAAATTGTGTAATGATATTAAAAAGAGGTGTAACATTCACAATTTGTTGTTTACCAAATTAATGATATTTTTATCCTTTTGCATATGTGTGGATGTGCACATGAAAATAATTTTGTCTAATTTATAGAAAAAATTGAAGTCTATCTTCTTCATTGCATGAGTATCACGTGATCTTTAACCACTTTTAATCAATTCGAAGAAATCTTGTGCAAGCTTCTTTTTAAGATGTTTGAGATAATTTCTTTTTAAACTTGTAACTTCATTAATTTGCTTTCGGATGATGACATCGTCTTTGAATTCTGATGGAATAGTGCTTTAAGAAATGTCTATTTGTTTAAATGAAAAAACTATTTTCTCACTTCAAAGAAGTCCTTATTTTGAACTTTTTTATATACATTGTTACAATTCAAAATTTTACTTTCTCCCATTATCCTTTATAAATTTAGTTGATCCCTTCTATATGTTGGAAAAAGTTTTTTCAACTAGGGAGTGTTGCACCCCAAAATTTGACCAACAATTATTTATCTATCAAGTGTTTGAAAGTTGATA